CACATATTAAAAATGGTAAATTTGGAAATTATCCTAGTTAAAGTACTATAAAATTATTTAAAAATATTTTTATAAGCAAATATAAAAAAATTTTATAAAAATATATTTGCAATTTTAAAAAAATTTTAGTTTATATATATTAGTTAAAAAAATGCTTAATTTTAATAAATTTCATAATAAAATATAATTAAAATAATATTTTTACTATATTTTACTATATTTTACTATATTTTATTATAAACTTATAAAATAAATCTTTTTTTGATTGGCATTTATTCAATAAATATCAACTAAAAATTTTTTTAAATTATAAATATATTTTTTATATTTTTAAATATAATTATTTTTATACTTGCTTATAAAAAATATTTATAAACAAGTTTTATAGTTCTTTAATTAAAGTAGTTTCTGAATTCATCATCTTTGATACATGATTCCACAAAATATTATTATATTAATATGCTTTATAATTTTAAAAAATTTTGTTTTCGTCATCCTAAAAAATATAATATCAAATATTTATAATATTTGAGTAATTTCTTATTAAAATATTAATAAATTTCAGCAAAAAATGATCACTATTACTTTTTATATTGACTGTATATAATACTGAATATAGCTAATAAATATCAAATTTTTTACTTTTTATATTATTTAATTATTATAAATTATTTTAATTTTTAAATATATAAAATTAGATATATATATAATTATTTTTTAAATTGTTCAGTAAGCAAATTTGTTTGCTAAAATTATTTTTAACTAATTTTTATATATTTATATCTAATTTTTATAAATTTAATCTCTCCTTTTTAAGCTAAAATAAAAATATAGTCTATTTTTAATTAATATAATTTAAATTAATAATTTTTATTTATAAATTACTCAAAATATTTAATTTATTTTGTAATTAATTCTGTAATTTTATTAAAAAATTTTTTTAAATTTAAGACTAATAATAAAAATTTTTTAAAATTACTTATTTTTAATTTAATAGATAACTATATTTTTTTTATAATTATTAAAAAGTAAAAATAACTATTATATAATATATAATTAAAGTTAATATTAAATAATTTTTTTAAAATATTTTAATATTTTATAAAAATATATTTAAATATAAATTTATAATATTTTAGCAAGTAATTTATTTATTAAACTGAATAGTTTAAGAAATAATATTAAATTAAATAGCAAAAATTACAAGCAAAAAAAAGAATATTTATTATATACTAATTTTTAATTTAAAAAACTTATTAATAAATATATTAGTAATTGAATTTTTAAAGTTAATTTTCTAAAAATAATAATTAAATTAATATTTTTAATAAATTAATTTTTAACAAATAATATAAAATATTTCTTAGTATTTATTTAACTCTAATTATTAATTTAATTACTTTAAAAGAAAATATTTTTTGAATTTAAAGATAATTATAGGTAATAACTTTTTTTTATCTATCATATAAACAAGAACAATTATAAATTTTGATTTTTTATGATTATTAGAGTTATTAATAGAATATTTTGGTTCATATTAAAATATAACCAACTTTAAAGTGGATTATATATTTTAATATAAGCTGAAGTTCTCTATTAATAATCTTAATAACCACAAATTCTAATAAAAATTGTTTTATTTTTCATTTTATCTATAATAATATTACTTTATAAATTAAAAATAAATGATATTTTATTTATATTTTTTATCAAAAAAAGAGTATATTTATAATTAATTTATTTATAATAAATATAATTAAAAAAATTCTTGATATTTTTATTATCGGATAATTTTTGAGTAATAATTATTTTTAATAACTAAATTTAAAATATTATATAAAATTATTTAATTACTTCTTATTTTACTTAAAGAATTTGATATTAAAATATTAAATAATATTTAATATTTTTAATTAAGATAGTTGCTTTTATTTGAATTTTTAATTAAATAATAATTTTCAATTTATAACAAAAATTCTTAATTTATTTTATAAGCTTATCTTTAATTTTAGAATAACAAAATTGAACAAATATTAGTTCTTGTTTTTTATTATATTAGTTATAAATTTGTTTGAATTTTAAATAGAATTTGTCAGTTATTTTACAAACAAAACACTTGAAACTTTTTAAAATAGATTAAAATAAATAATTTTTTACAAGTTATTCATTAATATTTCTTTTTTGAATAAATTTAGAATTATTATTTGTTTAAATCATTTTTATAAGACAAAAAAGTAAGAAAAAATATTTTAAAAATTTTGTATCAAAATTAGAGATGAATAATAAATAAAAATAGAAAATAAAAATTTATAATTACATATTATAATCTTTATTTTGTTTAAATATATTATAAGATTATAAATATTGTGAAAGTATTAAAAATACAAGTTGTATTTTCTCAGAAAAAATAAAAATATTATATATTTTAATATTTTTAATAATGCTATTAGTACTCATATATCTCATAATTAATTATTATCAAAAAAATTCATAATAATTTAATTTATTATCAAATGTAATATTTAAGCTTTTTCAAATTAATTATTATTATATTAATTTTATATCTATATCATTATTTATTATTATATAAATCTTTATTATTTAATACATATTATTAGATAGTATGTAGATTTTTGTATTATTTTTCACATATAAATTGATATAAATACAAACAGAAGTAAATAATGAATTTTATACATAATAAATTAACATTTTTTAATTTATTTGATATTTTGCATAATAAAAAACAGTCAAAAAAAATGTTAGCTAAAACAAAATCTGAAAAAAAGATCAAAACCAAACCAAATATGAAAAAAATTTAAGATTAAAGCCAAAACTAAACAAGTTAATAAATATAAAAAAATCCAATTAAAAAATAAAATAACTTCATTATAATGCAATTGAAGCTGTTCTTAAAAAAAACATGGATGAATAAAAAGAAGTTATATATTAATAAGCAAAGAACTGGAAACTTTTAAAAATCCTGGTATCTGTCCATTGAAAATGGCATTTAAGTATCCTATTCTTTAGCTTCTGTCACAAACTAATGAATCAGAGACTAATGATATTTTTGTGTCTCAATCCCACCCCATAAAAAAGAAAACCATTATTTTTTATCCAGCTTCTTATCACTGATACATCTTTGTAGGTATTAGAAGAGATAGAAGAATTAGCTAGAACGAAGACTGAAAACGTGAAGAGAAAAAAAGAAGCAGCTGCCCAGAAGTGGACCATACATGAGTTAGAAAAGGCACAAAAAAAAGCTGAAACTGAACGTAAAAAAGAATGCAAAAATAGGGGTAAAAAAACAATAATAATAATAAGTTTTTTTCCTTTCCCTGACAGTTTGTAACTTTACAACATAATATATATGTAAAAGTTATCTATTACATGTATATTGCTGATCATCATCAATTTACATTACGATTATTCCCATTAAATTGAAAATCGTAGTCTTGAGAAACTTCGTATAATTTATATAAAACAACAGTTTTTTATTATTATTATAAAGCAAGTTAAGACTTGTATCAACTAAGTAAAATTTATAAAGGGGCGAGCTTCTTTGATAGACTTTTATTAGTGAAAACTGTTAATTTCGCCATAACACCCACATTTACCTTGTGTTAGGAAATATACTAAATGGTAAACATAAGATCCCCCCAAATAGTATATCCTCCTAACACAAGACCCCCGAATAATATACCCTCCTCCATACAATGTATCCGGGAGGTACACTATCAGATAATCGTGTGTGGTTGGTTAGAGACCCCGGATATTTTGCAACGCGATTTACGGTATATTTTTATAATGTTCTTGGTTTTTTTCTGGATGTGTTTGTATGTATCGGTATTGGGAACAAGACTAAAACGATGGACAAATAAGGAATTTTATTAACACCGATCTTTGCATACAGAAGCCGTGAGATTGTTCTATAAATCTTACTTACAATACATTTTTTATAGAAGCAAAATATATAAATAATAGTGCTAGATTTCTAGCAAGGTAAAAAAAATGAATTGCGAAAATCTAATAGAGCACATTACGGCAAGTCATTTTCTCAGATTGCAGGTTTTTAAAATTTTCGAAACTTATTTTCTCGATAATCAACGATCAGATTTTTGTAATTTTGGTCTTATTATATTCGCCTCAATAAGACGAACATTTTGGTAGTAATTTCATTTTAATCAGAACAATATTTATCAAACTATTTTTAGTTAAAAACGTTCAAGTTAGAACATTAAATTATATTCGAACTTGCATTGACATGGAAAGAGAGCACACTAAGTACTGATATTTAAGGGGCATTATGCCCTACTCAGAGGCACTCTCAAAATAAATTTTTTTAATTTCATTATACAATTAGAAACTGGCCGCCATTATTTTCGCCGGGTACGATTGGCTATTGAAACTATTTCTTGCTTGTCGTACACTAAAATTTCCTCGTGGCATTTTTTTATTTGAAAATTTAAAAATTTTGCATTTAAAATTATATATATTATTATTATAAAACTATTTTAAAATTCATTATTGTTATTGATAAATCTACTATATCAGTAGAATTTATTTTATAAACTTCTCTCTATATAATAATAATATATTACTCTATATTTAATACCCGGTTTCAGGGTACTATTTAATTCATGAACTGCGTTGGGGGTCTTCGTGAGATTTGTGTAGAAATCAACAGTTATATCAATATCTTTGTCAAATACACTGATGGTGAATAACTGATTAATTGTATGTGAAGTTAATATTCGATATTTTAATGATGAATGATACATATGAATATAATACCTGTTAATGTACGAAGTACAAGTATATCAAAGACTTAACAAAGTTTCCAATCAATTAACAGTTTCTACACTTTAGGATATCATGGACTTGTGTAAGTTAAATAAATTATATCTGATTTTATGAATTAAAACTCGCCAGTGATATAATATTCTAAATATTATAAGAGCAAAAAATCAACAGAAGGAAAAATAACAAACAAATAAAAAATGATTTCAAAAGTGTTCAAAAGAATTATCAACTTTAGGTTGTATACAAACCGAAGTGTCGTAGGCGAAGATTATCCGAATATAAATGCACTACCTGGATGGATGGATGCACTACCACAAAGGTAGAGGTGGATACACTACTACAGAGGTGATTACTTTTTATTTTTTTTATTATTATTTTTTAGATTCTCTGCCCCGGGTATATGTGCATTACCACTAAAGTGGATGGATGCACTACCGTAAAGGTAGAGGTGGATACACTACCACAGAGGTGATTGCTTTTTATTTTTTTTATGATTTTTTAGATTCTCTGCCCCGGGTATATGTGCATTACCACTAAAGTGGATGGATGCACTACCGTAAAGGTAGAGGTGGATACACTACCACAGAGGTGATTGCTTTTTATTTTTTTTATTATTTTTAGATTCTCTGCCCCGGGTATATGTGCATTACCACTAAAGTGGATGGATGCACTACCGTAAAGGTAGAGGGATACACTACCACAGAGGTGATTGCTTTTTATTTTTTTTATGATTTTTTAGATTCACTGCCCCCAGGTAAATGTGTATTATCACGAAGGTGGATACACTACCACGAAAGTAATTGCTTATTTTTTTATATACTATTTGGGAAAGAAAACGACTCTAGTTTTTACTTTAAAAAAGAAGTAAAAAGTCAGAGAAGAAACTTCGAAGAAAGAAAAGCTAAAGAAACAACTCGCAAAACATCTCTTAAATAGTACTAGCAAGAAAGACGTGTAGATATACTACCACAAAGGTGATTACTTAGAAGTCTTACAAGCGAGAAAAGTCAAAGGAGAGAATAACGGGACAAAGTCAGCAGCAAAAAAAAATAAAAGAAGAAACTTCGAAGAAACAACTCGCGACTAGCGGTAGTGTGGGAAGAAAAATTAATAATCATATATGTAGATCGTTAACATTAATAAATACGTAATGACATAACCAACCAATCAGAATACAGTACACACAGATCACGAAATTTCTTGGCGATGACGAAGTCATTTCAAAAATTCTAGAATGACCGAATTGAATTACATATATAAATCTTTCTCAAAAGAGAGAGAGGGCGTCCGCCAAAAAATTCGCCAAAATCACCTACAATTTCGTCGTCATCATTAATGGCCACAACACCCACAACGTTGTCATTAGAAACGGAAGCTGCCGAACCAACTAATAGTTTTAATAGATCACAAATTTATTAGAATCATAAATATTATCAAACACAAATACAAATTATCCTTGTCGAAGTTGTTGGGTGGTGGTGTTATGCTCTCTTGTTGAAGTTATGGGTAGTGAACTTTCTCTTCCTATTTTGCGTGGGGATTCAGCAACTTCCGTTTCCAATGACAAAGTTGTAGGTGTTGTGGCCATTAATGATGACGACGAAAATGTGGCCAAGTTTTCTGTTTCCTTTTCTTACTTCCTCTCCTCCGGTAAAAACCTAATAACGAGGAATGCTATTCCCGCCCAACTACTTTGTTCTTCTTTCAAAATAGTGAAATATTGAATAAAACAAAAGAGGCAGGGGAAAAGAGTTAAAAGATAACAAAAGTTTAGTTCATGTTATTTCTCGTTTTACTTCTCTAATTCTCAACTTCCCTTTCTGGCACTTGTATTTTCTCCCTTAAATCTCTAATCTTACTTCTAGCTTTGCTCCCTGTTTAAATTTCTGAACACACTTATAAACCTATACCGGCCAAAACAGAATTCACCATCATAAAGTTCCTGTTCATAACTCACTCCTTTCTTCTCTCTCGGAGTTGCTGTTTTAATTGCTCTAATTTGATGGTTATTTCTTTTTTTCTTGATATCCTTGTTAAAAGTTTTCTGCTTGTTTTTCTTCATAACTGAATAATAGTGCTTTCATAGGCAAATTAAGCAAAGTATTTTTACAAGTTTGTTCAATAATCATTAAATTAGCTTACAAACTTGAACCTGAATTGGAAGTGATAAAAATATTTAAGATCTATATCAATTTCTATAAAAATTGTATTTACTTAAAAAGAGTAATAATATAGAAGAGTTATAAGAAAGTAAAGGTAAAAAAGAGAAAAAGGGATATAATGACTTAAAGAAAAATAATAAAGAGAGTTTGAAAGACTAATTCTTTGTATTTGCATAAAGCTTTCCAGAGCTAAAACAATATAAATAACAATAACAAAGATTTTTTCACTTTGTTCTTCTCACAAGTGAGGAATATTCATTAATAATCAAAAATTAAAATAACAAAAATTAAAATACTTATCCAATTTCAATAATTTCAATATAATGATTTGTTCAGCACAATATAATATAAAGCTCAATAATCCAATAACAGTAATTTGTTTGGTACAATATGATTTAAAGTTCAAAGTCAATAATAGTAATTTGCTCAATGCAATATAATATAAAGCTGTTAGTGATTTGTTAGATATAATATGATATAAACACATTATACACAAGATTTAAAATATATAAAGAAAATATAAAAAATAAAAAATATTTAAAAGATAATTTTTGTTAAGAGAGATTTTTATTTTCAGTTATAACATATTGAGTTAAAACTCAAATGGTATTTCTATTTATATATTTTTCAAAAATAGAATTTCAAATAATAATAACTATCAAAAAGGTGAAATAACTATTTGAAAATTATATAAAAGAAAAATAAAAGTAAAATAAAAAATAAAAAGTAAAATAAATAATAAAATAAATGGTAAAAGTAAAATAAAGATTAAAATAAATGATAAAAATAAAATAAATAGTAAAAATAAAATAAATGATAAAATAATTTGAGAGAATTTTTACTATTTTTAAATAATATATATTTTTTAGTTATTTTAAAATTAACGATTTTTATATTATTATTATAATATTTAATTCTTTTTTGAAGATTTTGCTCTGCAAATTAATTTTGAATTTGTCTATTATATTTATCAATTTCTTTTTTGCTTAATTGATATACTTAAAAGAATATTAAATTAATTATAAATATTTCTTGATTTGAAATATTTCAAAAGTTTTCTTTGTAATATAATATGATTATTTATAAAACTTTTGTTTTACGATTTTTTAATGAAAAAATCTTTTTAATTATTATAAATATTTTCAATATTTTGATGGTTGATTATAAAATATTTCTCCAATTTCAAAATAGAATTTTAATTTTTGTTTCTTATCTATATTTTAATAATAAATTTTCTTTACTACTTCTTTTAATTTTGTTTTTCATTTATTATTTATTATTGTTGATATTTGTTATTCTATAATAATCTCTATTATTGGTATTAAGTTTATAAATTCAGCTAGTTCTATTATTTCTGTTATTTCAACTATTGGTTCAGAAGGAATTGCAATTTCTTTATAAAGAGTTGATTTATTGAAATCTTTGAGAAATTTTGAATAATCAAATACTTTAAAAAATAATACTAACAATTATAATTTAAAGATAATTATATTATCAAAGAAAAAATTATTAAGAAATTTAAAATATTAATTGAGTTTTTGAATTATAACAAAATATTGTTGTTTATTGTTATCTTTAATCATAATTTCTTGAGTTAAAAATGAGATTACTTTATTTAATTAATATAAGAATAAATCTTTTAATATTTTAATGAAGTATTCTTTTATATAATAAAATTTATCCAGATAAAAATATTATAAATATATAAAAAAAATAAAGATAAAAAGAAATAAAGAGGTAAAAATAATACAAAAAAAATATTAAGATAATTTTAAAAGAAAAATAAGATAAGAATATATTTATAGTGTTTTTAAAAAAAGAAATATTATAATACTAAATTATAATAAAGATATTAATAAGAAATCTACATATTTTATTACTACTTCTAATTTAAATAAAGTTGATTATTCATGAAATATTTTTAATTATATATCTTTAATTGATTTCTTGAATAATTATTCTTGTTAATTTGTAATCTATATGTTCTATTTTAATATATTTATATATATATTACCATTCTTCTTTTTATTAAGCTTTAAACTTGTTTTCATATTCAACATATCTTTTTATATTGTAAACTAGAACTTTGTCTTTAATTTCAAATTGTTGTACTTTTCTTAACTTTCTATCATATTATTCTTTTGATTTCTCTTGAAAAAGATTAATATTTTTCTTGGTATTATTAATCTGTTCAGATAAATAATTAATTAAAGTAAATATTCTATTTAATAATTGTTTTTTATTTCAACTTCTTTTTTGAATATTAATTTAAATTTTAATTTTATTGATAATTGTACTTCTTTTTTATATATTAAAAAAATTATATTAAGTAATATTATTTTATAAAGTTCTATAAATAAATAATATTATTTCATTCTTCATCTAGAGTAATAATAAGTTTTTGTAATATTATTAATAATAATTTATTAAATTATTTTGCAATTTTATTTATTTACAAATAATATGATAATAAATATTTGTATTATATTTCAAATTTATTAGTAAATTTGTTTATTATTTGTACTATAAATTCTGTTTCTTGATTTGATTGTAATATTCATATTGACAAATAATTTTTTCAAATATTAATTTAGTAATAGTTACTGCTTCTTTATTAGATATTACTTTTACTTTAGATCATTTTGTTAAATAACTTTGTAAAAAAAATGGATCATTTTTGATCTGGAAAATTCCTGATTTTTGAGTCTGAAAACTTTTCAGATTTTTAACATCTGATTTAAATTCAAAAATTCAATAGTTTTATTAATAAATTATCTGATATTTTCTGAAATAAAGTCAAAATATATACATAAGTTAGACAGATCTTTTTTTATTTTTCTATAATAGAGATAGAATATAAGTAAAAATTAGATAGAATCTTTTTTTATTTTTCTGAAATAAGTAAAAGTTAGACAAATATAAAATTATATTTATTATTATATGATTATAAATTATATTCTAAATATTCTAAATTTTTATATATTTATATTTGAATATTCTATTACTTTTATAATAATTCTTTCATAATAATTGGAGAAATATCAGAATTAATGGTAGAGAAATGTTGGAATTAATAATAAAGGAATATTAAAGTATAAGTTATAAAAACCAAAATATTAAGTAAAAAAATCAGAATAAAATAATAAATAAAAAAAAGTCAGCATAAAGTTAGTATAGTGAATAAAAAAAAGCTAAAATATTAAGTAATGTTACAGCAATTCTAGATAGTGGGTTTCATTGAGAATCACTACAAGCATATGATGTTGGAAGAGGGGCGATTAAACTTAAATAAAGAGAATGAATTATAAATATTAGCAAAGATTTCTAAGGCCAGTGCCAATATCTACGGATATTGTGTGTTTAAAGATCTAAATTACAAAAGTAATTTGAAAAAGGGGCAAAAATATAAAGAAAAGAATAAAATAAATCAAAAGATTTATAACG